GTGAAGAACAAACACTATGATTAAAGTTGTCTTTTTTCTGAGAAATCTTATCAGCTTGAAATCACAGCACCATAACTGTAAAGTGATCTTACCTAAGGTTTTACTATCTATAATTTAATTCATGGCACAACAAAACTGAAACTTAAATTAAAAGACACGTGGGACATGTGTTTGTGTTTATGTGTTTGTTGTTCTGATTGATTTTTAAATATAGAACTCTCGAAAACTCAAATATTTAATCTAAAGCTTAGAATTGAGTCCTGCCTGCACATGGATCTCTAAACTCTGTCACTCCTTCACTGATGCTGTGTCTCTTGGTGCCACACAAAAGTTCACATCAAAGATTGGAAGGAAAAGCAAAAGGGGAAGTGAGGAAGCTGAAAAAAGTAGAAAAGAAAGACTGCCACCACTCCAATGTGAAGAGAATGATTTGTGCTTCTGAGGAATTCGACATATTTCTGAATTTAATCAGGAAATTATGTTCATTTTGGTTTATCTAACAGAAGCACTTCATTCTTTTCTGTATAAGTATCAGGTAATATTTATACATAAACCTAAATTTTTAAAAAGAATGTATCTATTTATGTATACAAAACTGGGTACAGGCCAGAGGTGCAAGGGTGGTGAGAAGATTCACCAGAAAACAGGGTGGGGAGCAGAGTAGGCAGACTGAAGAAGTACATGGCTGAGGGGAGCAGCGAACGAGACCGGAGAAGTCTCCTGTGCCATGTGGGTAACCTCCATGGCCAGGGATCAAACTCACATTGAAGTGATTGCAGCTAACTAGCTGTGCTGCATCCTAACCTGTTGCTCTGCCAGGGAGGGCCCCATAAACCTAAATTTCTATAAACATTGCCTAGTTTTCAGGGTAGGTTGATTATTCCATTATTGGTTCATTACTTCATGACTGTAAATAAAGTTTTGCATATTGTGCTTGTTTTATCAAATCTATATTTAAAATAAGATAAATACTCTCAAACTTCTGTAAGTCCGCATAAATACGCCTTTCAATAATAAATTCAGTAAAGGTCACAATAATTTGTTATGGAAACACCGAATATGTAATAGAAATTTCAATATATAGTCAAACGTGTAGCATTATATGCTTGATGCTAAAATTGCCATTTTGGAAGTTGAAGGTAAACTTAAGCAGATTTTCTAGCCAGATGAAGTCTTTGAATATTGAAATTTTCAACATGTCACAATTTCAGAGATTTATGTTGGGGGAAAAACTCCAGAAGGAAAATATTGCCAGTACTTTCAGTGCCCCTGCTATTAAAAGTCTCAATCTCAATGCATACAAAAACACTGCATCTTTTGCTATTAGGGTATTCTTTAATTGTCCCAAGGAAATTCTCTGGTTATGAGCATTAAACAGGATTTTAAAGAAAACGAGAAAAGAGGGCCATCCCTGGTGGCACATGGGTTAAGGCACAGCACTGTGAAGCTAGCTGCAGGTGCTTCATCATGAGTCGGATCCCTGTCCAGGGAGCTGACCCACATGGCATGGCAGACCTCTCTTGTCTCTCCCACTGCTCCCCTCAGCCGTGTATTTCAGTCAACCAGCCTATTCTGTTCCCTACTCTGTCTCTGGTGATTTCTTTCACCTCTGTACTCTAGTTCTTATATGCATGAATAAATAAATTGAAAAAAAAAAAAAGAAGATGAGAAAAGAAGACAGGAGAAGGCAAGGGATAGAATACACTAACATGGATTCTATGTAGCAACAATCTTTGGCAAACTTTGGACCATACCCCATGCTTTAGGAGTCCACCACATTAAAATGTGTGGTTCCCAGATTTCAAAGGTGCTAATGTAGCAATTCTCTGGAATTATCAAAATCAGAGAAATGTAGCTTCATGATATTATCCTAATTATGGAAAATATTGGTGGCTTCAGGCAGACAGAATTGAAAGAACAAAATGTCTCTAAATTCTCAACCAAGTTTACATTAAGTTTCTGGATATGCTGAAGGAATTTTAAGGCAAACAAACAAGCAACAACAACAAAGAAAAACCACACCAAATTTTAAGGCTTCTCAGTCTCATAATGCATTATTTTAGAATGTTCTAGAGTTCTGGAACTCCTTTTCTGCATATTCAGACTAGAACCAATAGCGAAGAGTTGAGGGTAAACCTGGCTCTCATAAGAGAAAAGGCATTGTGCTTTAAATCTACTTCAGATGTTATGTGGGACTTATCACAAAGAAACTTCTGTAGGAACTTACACCAACAAATATGAGTACATTTGTGGGGTTAATAGCCAGGACGAATAAATGAAAACAAAAACAAAAACAAAACAACAATCAACTGGAGTGGAAGTCAGGGAATCATATCTACACCCTGGCTCTCACACAAACCCTATTTGTACACATATAGTATATATTTTCCCCTTCAAAACACAACCCATAACTGCTCCATATCCTTTAGATATAAAATAATGAATGATTATCACCTTAAGAGATGAAATAAGGAAACATGCCATAATGCAGCGAAGTTAACCAGTTTCATATCATAATAATAATTTCTTAACAATAATAAACTGCAGGCCATATACAGATCAAATGTAACATATGGGTTGTTATCACAACCTTGATCATTTGATTTTTGTTCTTAGCATAATGGGGCTAGATCCCAAAGTTGATTGGTATTTGCATATTTCTTTGTAGTGCTGAGATTTTCACATATTTTTAAGGGTGAGACTATTTTGCTGACATAGACACTATAATCCTACTGGATTCCAATATACAGGATAACACATAATATTTGCATTAATAATATTTTTCATTTTATACTTCAGTTCTCTATAAATGATAAAAAGTATTTAATATTTTGTCTCCAAAAATTTCTTTATAAAACAGGGTACATCATATACATATCTATATCTCATATAGAATAGCAATGACATGGGTCAAGTTTGTGTTACAATTTCCTTATTTACCCGCTGGAGATGATACAGGACCTTACTAAGTTCGTTAGGCTGTTGCAAACATCAAGACCATTTATGGAAAGTTTTTGAGATTAAAAAAAATTTTGCAAAATGCCCTTCTGCTGACACTGGCCACACTAGCAACTAGGGATTAAGTTAGATTCCTTTGGGCAATAGCATATATAACACTTTCTCTACTGTAGGTAGGTAGTAAACCTACCTGATTCTTTTGCTAAATTCTGGATAATACCAGAGAAGAAAACAAAATTCAAAGGGACATTCCTAAGGGTGGTAGGAAATTGAATTTTCTTGCAATGGATTCAATTGAACTTTTCACTTGGTATCCATTAATTTGAAGTTGACTTTAAAATTTCACTTACTGCCTATGTGTTTAAAGAATGAACACTGTACCTACTGATATGTAAGATACAATGTTTTTGTCACTGAGTAAGCACAAATGTGCCCATGCAGCTGTAGCAGCCCTTCCCCTCACATTGTTACACCAAGCCCCATGAAAAGGCGTCAGCTCTGGCTCGCAAGCCTGCTCTGTGGTCAGAGCAGGTCTGGTCTGTGCAGGCAACAAGTTTCCCTGTTTATATTTGGTGCCTGAATCACAGAAAGGACAATCAAGTTTGAGCTAAATAAGCCAATGAGATTCAATACCAGCTCATTTGTTAATTATTCCAATTGAAAATGGGAAATGAGCTGACTCGTGCTAAATGGTTCAATCAATTGCTTTGGTTGAAAATAGTCTCTCCGGCTTGTAGTGTGGGAGATCCTGAAAGAATGTAAGGCAGGGGAAGCGCCAGCTTAGGGCATTCTGTTTCTGGATTCTGTAGAAAGAAGTATCATCAGCCAACTGATCCGAAGAAAGGAAAACTGAAGACCTTGGCAGAGACCTGACTGCTGCACCTACCTGGGGCCCTCCCTCTGACATCACCTGAAAAGAGCACTTAAGCTTCTGTGTGGTGACTCAAAGAGCTGTTGTACTATTGGGCCTTTCCAACAGCCAACCAGTAGCTATTAACACTGATGTTATTGACACTGCTTCCTGGTGACTGGTGGTGACCAGCAACATTGACCAGAAATGTTGACAAGTGACTGGGGCACTCTGCATCAGGGTCACCTTCAGATCTGTCTACTGCTTCTGATAACCTAGCACAGCCTCGTGGTGTTGTTGCCTCTACTGCTGTCTGGTCCAATGTCTAGTGCTGTCCAGCCCAGCCTTCGGATTGTTGTCATGGGCTGCCGTGATGTCATCTCAGTGGCCCCACCTGTCACCACACCTTTGAGCACCTCCAGTCACCACTGTGAGTTGGAGCCTGGGCCACTCACTGCTTGCTGCTTTGCCAATGGCTTCAGGCCCTCATGGACAGGATAGCACACCATCTTACATGAAGAGTCTTTCATTTGAGGCTTCTGGACACTGTGGACACTATTTGGTGTGAGAGAATCAGACGCTTTTTGCCTTAAAAACTCGTGTTTGTCCTGTTTGTTAAATAAATCCCATTGTTGTAGTTCCCTGAGGCTAAGTGGTCTTGTAATTGAATGCACAGGTGAGAACCCATAGACGGTGACCTATCCTCTACCTTAGCACTGTCCTTTGACCCTCTCTAGCACTTTTTACTTTGAATTCCTTTCTTCTCTTCTCTACGACCCATTAACAATCTGTTCTCTTTGACTTTGTGTGTGTAAGTGACTAAACTATCTCTTAGCAGTTTGAGGTGCCTGGGTACCCCCTCAGTCTAGCCTGAGAACTCAGAGTGGTATGGGAGCATTTCCTTTGCTCCCTGACAATGGGATGATGGGTATTCTAATCTTGATTTTGATCCACTGACCAAACTCTACAAGTTAAATTTCTTTTCTGTTTGTTTTACTTTTATAACAAGAGTGTGGGGGATTTCATTGCATAGAGAGTCTCAAGAATACTAGCTATATACATCAGATGGCACTGACAGTGTTACAGACACTTAACATGAAATGCAAGACTCACAAAAATTCCTTTTCACAGCTAACTCAACCTGCTTGAATAATGTTAAATCTGCAAAAATATACGCTTAAACAGAGAGACACTTTTTAGCATTAAAAAAACTAAAGCATAACCCCTCTTGTGGGCAACTAATTTAGCAACATTTAACAAGGTTTTTTAAAATCAATTGTCATGGAGCACCATTAAATAATCATGTACAAAAGATCCAGGCAGCTTAAAGATCAAGATTTCCTTGCTCATGAGATGCTTAGTTGACTTGCAAGAATGCAAAATATTCAGTGCATCTGGTTGGGGCCTACATGGATGATGACATGTTTCTCATAAGCCCTTTTCATTGTTTTCTCAATTTGCTTCAGAAAAACTTGTGGGATTCGTCCACATAAAGTATGTACAGTCTCCAGAAACTTCAGCTGAAGAGGGTAGTACATGGATTGAAAGAGATTGTCTTGAAAGGGAAACTGAAAAATAATTAGAAAAAAGAAATTTCATTTTAGTTTCTTAATACCATCTAAAAAGCAAATGGGTGTTAATAAGAAATGGACAAAACAGGGAATTAGTATAGTTTGTATGTTCTAAGCAAAGCAAAGCAAAGCAAAGCAAAACAAAACCAAAGTTATATATTCTTAGACATGGTGGAAAGGACTTCTACACAATGAGGTTCAAATCTTGATTTAGTTCTGTGCAACACGAGGCAATCATTTACCCTTTATGGGCTTCAGTTTCTTTTCTTCTAAATAATCACAAAGGAATAAAAAGAAAAAAAAGAAAAGAAACAAGAAAGTTAGTCCTTAAAACTCTGTAAATTATTTTTTTAAATAGTATTTGTTATATTGATCAAAAATTAATAATGCAGTGGTTTTAATTTTACTTTTGCATGGTGATACAGTATAAATGACTAGCTCACAATACAAGGAAGTTTTTATAAGCTTTGCTCTTTGAAGTGGTGTTAGTGTTGCTGTGTAGAGCAAAGAGTTCTCACTAGCAAAGAATGACATTAATGGAATGAAAACAAAAAAGATGTGTTAGTGTCATAGATCACAAGGTGGCTCTAAGCAAGTTATTTCCTCAGCACCCAGCAAAGGGAAGCAAGAACTAAAAATACCTTAGAAATTCCAAATGCCCCCTGTTACACATACTTACATAAAATCCAAAAGCTTTAGAATTTAATTTTAAAATAGGGTAGATCTCTCTAGACAGCATATTCTGTATATACAGCATGCTCTTGATGAGTATAAACAAGACTCAAGTAGGTATGTAAGAGGGATAGAGAGAAGCAAAATCTAGACAGTGGACTTCACTCCCAACTCCAGGCCAGTGAGATCCAGGCACCAAGGATAACTCCCAGCATGCCTTGAACGATATTTCCTGAATGGGGGGGCAGCTGGGAGGATGAAGGAGCATCTTGGATTCAGAAACACACACACAATACATATACACACATAGAGAAAGCGGGTAAAGCAAGAGGGGAGAGGGAAAAGGACACGGGGACACAAGGAATGGTGATGAGGAAAAAAATTGAACTTGTTTATTAAAGTCCCCCCCCCCCCATTAACAGTTTGGGGTCTCTGGCATTCTTGGTTTTGCATAGAATCAGATACTTGAAATCGGCTAAAATAACTGAATTCTTTATTTTTTTGCCTTTGTGGCAATTTTAGTGAAGAAACTTTAGTTTGTATCTATGATAATCTTGTGAAGTCTAGAATTTAACAACTACTAGTAAAACTTGTCGTGAATGAATTTTTATAACTCAAGAATCAAATACTGGTTGTTAGTTTTTCCCACTTAATATGGTTTAAAAAATTATTTTGTTTTGTAAAGAAACATGAATAGCATTTTCCATCTTTTAGATCACTTAGCGATGAGCATGTTTCAAAACTTTATTACGATATTGTTGAAAGGGAAAGGCCCTCTAGTAGGTCCTGTCACAGCTTCATTGTTTGGCAAGGGCATTTTATATAAAAAGAGAAAAAGGGAAGAAAACAATGGTGAAAAATCTGTCTGCTTCTGGCAAACAGCAGAGTAGGCGGGTTCTGGTCTCCTAGAATGACTCTTAATCCTTTTGAAATTCATCTGAAATATTACCAGAAATTCAAATTTCTTCCAAGAAGGAGATTGTGCATTATGGAATGTGAGGACTTTCTGTTCAAGACCACATTTAGGTCACTTTTTCTTTTGTAGCAGAATTTAGACCATTGATAAGTTATTTTTTGCTACTACAGCCTCCGTGACAAGAAAAGATGAGGTCAAATCCTTAGAGTCATTCTTCTTCTTGATTCTTCCTTTTCTCCCATTCCACCTCCAATCTAGCTATGGGTGCTATAAGCACATGCAACAGCAGAACATGGCCACCCTCCCCGGCCTGGTTCCCACCAGTGCACACCAGCCCGGTCCATGTCTCACATGCTGGCTGCAATAAGTCTCATAAATGTCTGGTTTCACATCTGTGCCCCGTCTACTGAGTTACCAAGTTGGAACTCAGAACATATCATGTTGGGTATCTGGTATAAACTTCTGTTTGTACTACTGAACGGGTTTGCCTCTGGAGTTAGATCTCAATATCTAAATATGATAGGAACAGAACAAATTTACTATGTAATCCCACCACTTGGCCTTAGAATACCAGCACTTCACATTGCAAGAGGAATAGGATTCAGCTCCTCTTTTCTTCCACTTGACCTGAACGCTCCAATTTCACTTCTCTCTTCTATCTTTGCATTCTAGCCGCTATGGCCTTTTGCTGTCCTTCAGGCACACCAAGCTCATTCCTGCTTCAGGGATTTTCCCTGGGTTTTCTTCTGTTTAGTGGGATCTCTCCCTGGGAGTCCCCAAGACTGTGCTGCCTCATCAAGTCTAGGGCTCCCCAGGGTGTTCCCTGAGAATCTGTGCTTGTGAGCACTCCTCTCAGTCCATCACACTCTCTGGTTCCCTTCTGATACCTTGGCTATCTGGTGGGATTTTTATTTTTATCTTATTTCTCTGTTTATGTGAATGTTGTTTAATCTCATTGGCCAACATATGTACTTTCTGAGGATTAGGCTTTGTCAGCCATCTAACTTTCTGATTTCCTAAATGCAGACTTGTTCGTTTATAAAATAGACTGTTTATAGATGATGTGGAAGATTTACTGAAAGAATGTCTATCTGACAGATGACTTCCTTGGGTCATGATGGAAGGAGATCATACTTTCCCATCACACAAACACATGTACAGAGGGTTTGGGCTGGATGTGTGTGTGTGTGTGTGTGTGTATGTGTGTGTGTAGAAAGAGAGAGAGAGAGAGAGAGAGAGAAGGAAAGAAAGGAAGAGGACAAGGGGGAATATTTAAGTGAGAAAATATAGATAAGGTAAAGAAAGAGATAAGTGTGAAACTATTATCATGAATACAACTTCTAATTATTGACCTTAAATGGTCACATAAGTTTTTCTCAATATGCCCAGAGTAGCCTACTTATCCTTGGTATGGGAACTGTCCATCTAGGTTCTGTGAGTCTCAAGATGTCTATTTACAATTACTTAAAGGATGTAGATATTGGGGGCTGAGAATAGTGAGGAATTAAAGGCTAGGAGGAATTTCTATTCTTGTCGAAGACCTTCACTCCTCCCTAATGATCAACATGTAAGCTCCTGCCCTTTTCCTAATCCAAGATGTAAACACTACTCTCTTTTGTGACCTAGAAGAATGCAGTTTGAAATCTTATCCAGTTCTAGTTTTATCAGCAGGTATATTCTAAGTACCTAAGAATTTTATCTTTACTCTTTAGGGTAAGGATGAGGTCTTCCTTTCTTTGTCTGTCTTGTGAAATCTTCCTCTATTGGGCCCTTGATGCTCTAGGTCCCAAAACACAGTAAATATTCCTGGTCTGCTCCATTATTCTTTGGAATTTACAACCATTGAATTCTCCATATATATGTTATTGGATTGAAAGTTTTTTGTCTGCTAGTCTGTCTGATGCTGTTTTGATTCCTTGTCTACCCTGAGAAGAACCCAGAGGCAAGGGATGATTTGTGCCCCAATGTAGCATAACCACATGTTAGATGCTATCTAACAGTTTAAAGACTACCATTTTATTGAATTTATAAATTTACCTCACATTTATATGAGGTAGTTAATGTATTATCTCCAGTTCACAGATGAAGAAAAGAGCTTCAGTAGGTAAGAGCAAAGATTTCAACGGCTACCAGATGACTCTGAGTGACCACATGACGCTGCAGAAAACAAGGGCAACATAAGAGTGAGAGAGGTGAGGGGCCCTCCCTAGTGGCACAATGGGTTAAAGCGCAGCACTATGAGTTTAGCCACAGCTACTTCAGCATGAATTTGATCCCCAGCCAGGGAGGTCACCCCATGTGGTGTGGCAGACCTCTCCTGACTCGCATGCCGCTCAGCAGTGTACTCTGTTAATCTGCTTCTTCTGCTCCCCACACTGTCTCTGGCGAGTCCTCTCATTGCCCCTCACCTCTGGCCTGTACCCCCAATTCTGTACACATAAATAAATAAATCTTAAAAAAAAAAGAGAGAGTGGTATGAAGAAAAAAGTGTGAAACTGCTTCTCAGCTTTGGACTTGCACCAGGTACTTGGGGGTTACAGAAGTGTTAGAGGTGAGACACTAGGAAAGCTGATAATGCAGCCTTTTGTTTTGAATTGTACTTTGATTTTGTTCCTTTCACTCCAAATTTGCCTGACCCTTTCTGCCCCTTTCCTCTGGTTCCTCTGCCAGAAGCTGCTTTAGATTTGGGGCAAGATTTTAGGTCTTAGTGGCTCTGCTTTGGGCCAACCCAGTTTGGTTAGGTATTTACTCACAAAGGAATGGATAACTTAGGGTATTATACTGGGAAACTATTATCCTTCTCTTCATACTATGCACACTATTCCTATTAACGTTTCTCTTTTTGATCCAAAATTGTCTCCTTAAGGCAAAATAGTTGCGTGACTTATTTGGACATATTAAGTCAAGAGTGGATAAGTATAGTCTGAGATGGTAAGTGCATCTAGTGAAATGGAGTAAAGTTGGAGAAACTGGCATCACTCGAGGCTTCAGGAAAATTACTTGGTCTTCAAAGGGATTGGTGACCAAAGTGCCTGTACTGTTGCTGCTGCTAAATACATGTCTGTGAAAAGGTGACAAGAACCACTTACATCTCTGATTGCTTCATAGAGTGCTTTGAAAGCTGGCTGCTTATCATCATGGTAGACACCTCGGTTCCCATGAAGGACGGACACACCTTCTCGTTCAGCCTCTTTGCAGTTGCTTCCATACATGCAGTGATCAGGACGGTAATTCCACTGGCAGGGGAACACGTAGAGACACTCTGGGAGTGACCAAAAAAAAAAAAAAAATCTGTCCAAAGTCAGCTTAGCTCTCCTGGGGAATAAAATAAGGTTTCTGGAACTGCACCCTGCACATGATTTAAATGCAGAGGAATGTGCTTGTGACTCATACACCAAATTTCATCACACCGTCAAAATTCAGCAACTGAAGGAGCATGCATTAGAGATGCTGTATTTTCCACCTACTATGGAGAGTGGGGTAGCATCAGGGACAAGAAGTCAAACAAAGGGATCAGACAGCATGGGTCCGAATATCAGCTTTCTCATTCAAAAGCAGTGACACCTAAATGTACCAACAATCTTCATGATAGTCAGTTTCTGCTTCTGTAGGATGAGAATAACAACACCTCACTCTTATTTTGATGATGAAAATTTATAAACAAAAAATGCTTGGAAAATTGTCAAGCACACAGCAGTGGTCAGTAATTATAACTTGGTCTACAAGTCACAAACACATTCCTGTGCTCTTCCATTGTGAAATGGGTAGACTTGAAACTTGGAAGGAAAACTGAGGAAAAGGTATTTCTTGGAATGAAAAAATAGCCAACTGAAAATGAAAGAAAAGGACAAATTCAAACAGCAAAGGCAAAAACACCAAAGGAAAAAAACCCAAAACTAAAGAAAGTCCATTTGCTAAGGTGTGAGCATGTACATATGGGTACTTGCTCTTATGCATTTTTAAAACATTCATTCATTTATTTATTTATGCATACAAGAGCTGGAGTGTGGGGGTCTGGGGTGAGAGGATTCTCCAGACAAAGTGGGGAGTAGTGGGCTGCTCAGGAGAGGTCTGCCTGCCATGTGGGTCAGGTCCCTGGCTGGGGAATGAACTTGTGCTGCATTGGCTGCGACTAACCCCATCATGCTGCAGCTTAATTCCTTGTGCCACAAGGGAGGCCTGATCTCTCTTAGGCATTTTTATATCTAATTCAATGTTCTTGACCAGAAGAGACCCTATCCCTTTCCCCCGGGGCCATCTCACAATGCTTGCAGGCAGACTCTAGTTGTCATACATGGGGAGGCTATGACTGGCATCCAGTGGGTAGAGATCTGGCATGCTCTCACCAGCCCACGATGAACAGGGCAGCCTCCACAACAGTACAAAATAGAGAAACGCCACTCCAACTCTGCTGATTCAGAAAATTCCCTGTTGGTATCTAAGATTATAAAATAAGCAGTAAGTTCATGGCCCCCTAGTTTCCTGGCTCACCAGCTTGATGCCCTTCAGGGCGGGCACTAGAGCAGTATGAATTCAAGCTCTCTGCGAAGGTGTGTCGAGGATCACCAGAACATCCTAAGTGTGAGAACCCAGATGGACTACAGCAAATCAATCACCTACCAGAAAAGCAACCTCGAGGATGTGCTTGTCAGTTGCACTGATATCATGCTCTTCTCAAAGCATGGGCTACTGTTTAGAGATTGCTTACAGAAAGCTTCAAGATGGAAGCAAAGAATAAAGACATCACCATACATCCCCTTTGGCAGACTGAATATTTCTATCACTCCATTTTTCACAGAACACAGTGACATCCAGGCACCCTCTATCAAATTCCAACTGCTTGGAACACACTAGATTTCCTTCCCACCAGGGTATTTTTCTTATTTCATATACCTCCACACTTGCACATATGTGATACTCTATCAGCTGTGTGAGTTTTCTGCCTTTAATGCAGGGGGCAGGCACGACAATTATGTGAGTAAAAATATCTAAAAGTACTTTTGTACAGGATCTTACCCCAAGCTGCTTTTTGCAACCCATGGATCACCTTGCTCATTTCTGATGCCCATCTTGGTGCTTACATTTCAGTTCCTGCTTAAGCACATGATGATGTTCCCTGCTGAATGAATCAGACTGGAACCCAGAGCAGTTTTGCAAATATACCAAATGCCTGAGTCAACCTTTGTTTTGGAATCAACAAATTTTTGAGTGCCTGCTGTGTGTACTATGGGACAACTACAGTTTCTGCCTTCATAGAGTTTCAGGTTGATGATGAAGTTTTTAATCTTTTTCGAAGGACCTTGGGATCCCACCACAAAGGAGACCTCTCTTTGCAGCCGCCTTAAGGGACTGAACATACTCCAAGGCAGATGCTCAAATCAAAGGTGTTTAGAATCAGACAGATGTGAGTTCAGACTTGGTTTCTACCATGGCCTGACTCTATGACCTAGGTGGATTATTGAAATCTGTGACTTCCACTTAGAAATATTAAAGAGAATTTAAATTATTCAGAGAAGTACACCAGCTCTATCATGTGTTAGCAGAGTCCTAACAGCAGAATGGGAAGCTCTGAAGTCAACTTGTAGGAATGGAACGTAGAACTCTGTCACTAGTTGAGGGGATTCAAGCAAATCACATAATTTTTCTGGGCCTCAGTTTTGTTTTTTTTTTTAAAGATTTATGCATACAGAACTGGGGTACAGGGCAGAGGTGTGGGGGCCATGAGAGGATTCACCAGAGACAGAGTGGGGAGTGGTGAGCAGAACAGGCAGATTGACAAAGTACACTGCTGAGGGGAGCAGCAGGTGAGACAGGAGAGGCCTATTGCACCATGTGGGTCACCTCCCTGGCCAGGGATTGAACTGGTACAGGGGTGGTTGTTGATAGCTTTGCAGTGCTGCACTTTAAACTGCTGTACCACCTGGGAGGGACCAACCTCAGTTATATAATCTGTAAAATGGTCAAAAATATTACTTGTCTAATAGGTTTTTGGAGAGTATAAAATATATAAGTGCTTGAAGAGTGTCTGGCATGTAGAAAGCACACATAAATGTAAGCTTTAGGAAATTACTTTTATCAATGTTATAACAAGAACTATTGCAGTAGGCTGCTACAGAGATAAAACAAAATAGATTGGGTAAGCTTAGCCTAGTTCCCGACAAGGGTGACATTCCATTTGCTTCTAGACACACAGGTGGCCTTTCAATGTTTGTCATTGTTTTGTCTGAGTACAAATTTTTATTCTTTATTCTTTTCCTGCCAAGTACAACTGACTTGCACCTACAGTCATTTTTTAAGATTAAAAATAGTAAGTAAACAGGGCCCTTCCTAGTGGTGCCACAAGTTAAAACACAGCACTCTGAAGCTGACTGAAGCCACTCTAGCACAAGTTTGATCCCTGGCCTGGAGGTGACCCACATGGTGCAGCAGCCCTCTCCTGACCTGCTTGCTGCTCCCCACTCTGTCTCTGGTGAATCCTCTTTCCCCACCCACATCTCTGGCGTTTACCCCAGTTCTTTATACATTAGTAAATAAATCTTAAAAAAAAAAATAAACTTAGACTTCTAGTAAGGATAGGATGTTGACAGTCAGCAAGAGGCCTGGAAAAGTCATTTGAAGAGGAGAAAATGGCCTGATTGTGGTGCAAGGTTTAGAAATCTGAGTGTTTTAAAATGCATGAGCTGGGCCCTCCCTGGTGGCACAACAGGTTAGGATGCAGCACTGTGCAGCTGGCTGCAACCACTTCAGTGCGAGTTTAATCCCTGCCCTGGAGGTGACCCACACGGCACAGCAAACCTCTCTTGTCTTGCCCACTGCTCTTCTCAGCAGTGTTCTTTGTCAATCTGCCTGTTCTGCTCCCCACTCTGTCCCTGGTGAATCCTCTCACGTCCCCTCCACCTCTGACTTGTAACTCATTCAGAAAAAAAAAAAAAAAAGACTATGCCATTTAATTTTGTTGGATGTGCATGATCTTGAAGGTTAATGGTGGAAAATTTGCCATTTAAGTAAACAGACTTTGTTGTAAAATATTTAAGAAATACAAATCTATATCAGATTGTGAATACTCACCTTTGCTTCTAGCTTGAAAAACTATTTGTGTGTGTGTGAATTCCATTTGCAAGAGATGGGGTGTCACAAAATCAGAGGGAAAGCTGAATTGGGGCAGGAAGTAGGTAGCACCTGGCATCTCCAGGGTGGGGGTTAATTCATGCTGGCTTTTTAGCATTGCCGCCAGGATGAGCCAGACGAGGCCACTTTCTATTCTGGGGTTCCCAGATTCGGGTTCCTACATGGTTAAGACTGGTTTAGCAGGAGTTGGGGTGTCAGCACTCTAAGACTGCACACAATGAGGAAAGTAATTCCTCTAAGGAAACTGGGGTGTTGTTACCAATGGAAAGGAAATCAGGGGTGGGCAGTTAAAAATAGCAGATGGGGCCCTCCCTGGTGGCGCAGTGAGTTAAAGCACAGCACTAAGAAGCTTAAGCCACCTCTGCATGAGTTCAATGCCCACCTGCCCCGGAGGAGATCCACATGGCGTGGCAGACCTCTCCTGACCCGCCCGCTGCTCCCCTCAGCAGTGTACTTTATTGATCTGCCTATTCTGCTCCCCACTCTGTTAATGGTGAATCCTCTCACCCTTCCTCTTACCCTCTGCATCTCTGGTCTGTACCCCAGTTCTGTATGAATAAATAAATCTTTTTTTTTTTTAAAAAAAAACGTAAAAACAACAGATGTCTTTTTTATTCTCAAATAAATTTTGCTGGTGTTATAATTTGAAAACCCATCTCACTAATGGCAGAAAGAGGAGAGGGGATGAAGATGGAAAACCTAAGGTCAGCTGATGAACACGGAGGGTGGGTAACAAAGGCTCTCTGGCACATGAGCAGTGACTATTTGAAATGGATCTATTTTAAACACATTGATTGAGGCTGTCAAAATCTGATGTTTAAAAATGATGACATGCTCAGGTTATTTTTCTGCTGAGGAAATAATACAGTGAATGGCTTTGAATTTTAAAATCCACAAAGCCTCAAACCACTGCAATTTATCTTAAAATACGTTTTTAAGCCATTCTCTTAAAATCCTGAGTTTTTGCTGCATCTCTCCATTCTACAAAGATGATGAATCTCATTAATTGATTATGTGTGGATCAGCAATCCCATCCTGCTCCGTTTAGGAGTCTCCATTTATTTCCCGAAACACCTGACAACTTGCAATTGATCTGATTTCCTTTACATTTCTGATTCTTGCATACCTTTGGGGTCTCTAAGGTTGTGGAAAAAATGGCTCATGCCTGATCATTTTAACTTCATGATGAACACCTTTGGGTCTTACATATTTGCCACACAGTATCAATAGAATACACATCTGGTTGCACCATCAATACATTTTTTTTTTAATGTTTCATTTGGAAAATGAGTTTTCCTAGCATCTTCTTCCAGAATGCACCTTTTTCCAGAAAAGGGTAATTCATTCTTCCAGGAAGACTTCCTGGGTCATGTGCTGTAAAAGTAGATCTTCCTTTAGCCACAATATCTCTTTTTTAATCTCTCACTTGTTCCCTGCAGAGCATTTATTACAACCTGAGATTCTGACCAACTTGTTGCTATTTTTTGGAAATCTACCTTCTTTAGATGAAAGGTAGCTCTTGTGAAAACAGGAACTTGGTTTAATCTGTTGCCATATATGCCACCTTGGGTGTGCAATATCTGCTGAATGAATGAGGCAAAGAAAGCTTTCCTCTACCATATTTGCCTTTCTCCTTTTTACTCTTTCTCTCTCCACTTTCCTTCTCTCTTGCTCTCTCGTCTTTTTCATTTACTTCTCCTTTCACTCCACTGTCTAATTTCATTCATTCAACCAATCTGCATGTCTGAAGACCAACTCCATTTAAGGCACAAAGTCTTACAGTGTCAAAGAAAGAATGTAGACTCAAGGACCCTACTCTTTCATTCTTCGCTCTCATGCTTTGTGTTAGAGTTCATGATCTTCCCGGACTTCCCAAATAACGATTTGTTACTCATTTTCTAGAGCAGCACTAATACCAAATAACTAAGCTTGTCAACCCCACATCTCACTATTAATTGCCAGCTGCTGGGTCCTTTGGTGAGGTGATTCTACACTGTGGCTGCATTCTCACAAGCAGAGCTCTAGAGGTCCCAGGCAGGATGAGAAATAGACCCTGATGGGGACACTAAAGAGGCTTGCCCCATGTGACTACATGTCTTCCTTTCTATAGCCCCAGCAAACTCCAAAGAGAGTTGAGGATCAACTCATAGGCTAGACCAGGTCATTTATTTTTTTCTCTCTCAAGAATTTGCATCAGGAAATAAAAAAAATTCACTATCATTGGTTGTGGAATTGGAAATGGAGTTAAATCAGGCTTTTTTTTGTCCTTCTGCCTCTAGCCTCTATGGTCTTGCACCCTTCCTAGGTTTGGGATACCCAGAGCCAAGAGCTGTGGGCAAGGGGGTAACCAGAGAGCATGAGGCATGCACATATGTAAATACAGACACCTGGGCCCAGGGTGGTGGAGGATAAAAATGACTGCATCACTCTGAGGCTAGTGGGCTTAGTGTCCTCTGCTGGGTGTCCTCTGATTCAGCATTAAAGGCTGTAAAGTGGTACCAAGGGTGCCAAAATTCTTTTTTCATCTGCAAGAATCAACAATGAACCTATCTACCCAATACTTGGGTTTGGCCCATGTGCAGAAAAATGCTGTCCAAGGTAAAAAATTGTATGTGTATTGAGGAAAGCAACATTGACAGAAATAGGGGGCTTCTGAGTGATGGAGAGGCCAGCTTTCGTCTTCAGCTGCTTCCCAGAGTAGATTCACATGTGACTTGGTATGATCTGGTTCACATGTTCACAGGACAGCCTCTGGTGCCTTATTCAGTTGGGATTTTGTTTCTGCAGCCTAAGGACATTGATCAAATCTCTTCTTTCTATGAAGGATTATCTTTTGGCTACTGTCAAACTTATCCTTTCTATGGTTTTGCACTTAACTCAAATTTACCTGTAAGAGATATGAACTCCATCTCCCATCTATTGAAGAAACTGCCTGCTCACTTGCCAGGCAATCTGAGAACTATTACCTACATGTCCCCTGTGGGTTTCAGCTGTCTCCACTTGAATCAGTCTATTACCCAGCCTGGCAATTACACACTGACAGACATGTACTGTCTAATTATAGCAAGAGTTTTAAAACATTTTTTAAGCTAATGACTTTTCAACATGTTTTAAAAAACAGTGTTATTGGCTACAGAAAGTGACAATAATAACGTTCCAGACATGTGCTCCTATTTTAGGTGCACTGCTTCATCATGGCAACTCACAGAGCCATAACCCATAAGCATATTTGTTTCTTGTGTTGTGTGTTGGAGGGATCTTCTCTCTTCTTTCCAGGGGTAAGGCAACAAATCTTTTTGCAAATATAGTTCCAGTTATAGAAGGGTCTCACAATTAATATAATGAAAGAAAATGCTTACAAAGTTCTGGCTATCACTACACTTTGGGTCAAAGAGCTCACATTTCATATAGTACCCTGCTCACGTGGGAAGCAGGAAGATGAAGTACAGGCTACCCAAACGACAGTTAAGGCATTCACTTAGCACTCACTGATGTAAAGCTAGACAACTCAGTTATTTACTTCCTACTGCTTGGACCCAGGAAGTAGAGCAACTTCATAATTACTTTACAGTATTCTTGTAGCCAGAGGCCTGAAGATGGGGCAGGCATGCAGAGTCCATTATGCTCCGCTGTTTTCCAGCCCCTGTTAAAGATGAGGGGTTTGTTTCTAATTGCAAAGCTGCTTGTATCATTGACTCACTGGTCACACCCTCACATAATCTGCAACAGGCTAAGATGATTTCTGGGGAGGCAAGTGTATGAATCTTTTGAATTCTTCCATTTGGAAATATGGACAGATAGACTTGTGGCAGTTTTAATCACCCAACAGAAAGGAGAAAGTAATATTCAAATGGAGAGATCATGCAGTAGAGAAGTCAAATATGGGGTATCTGCTCAGCACTCTAGGCCTCTCTCTAAGAACCTCCCCTCCTCATACAGCGCAGGGCTGGAGTTGGGGTGGCAGGTGTGCGCCCTTGATCTGGTACATGTATTTAGCTAACTCCTCCCATTGCTACCTTGGTGCAGGATAAATGAAGTTAAAAATCAGGCTTTTCCCACCCTCCCACTACTAGCTTGGCTACCCAGGGCCGAGAGGCATGGGTGAGAGTACATGTGCCAGTAATTGTGGACACCTGTGCCCAGCAAGCTCGGGTGCGCACAAGCAAGAGCAGGCACTTGTGCCAGGAGGACAGGAACAAGGGGGTGGTGTCACTCAGAGAAGGCGGCTGGCTACAGGACAGCGACTGCAGTACGAGTGGACCCCTCTAGGCCAGCCCATGAGACATCATATGAACCTGTAAACACAGAGCAAACACCATAGGGGCCAGAGAAAGAGAGAGTGCACAGATCTGCAGGGGCCCGGGAGACTTGCCAGTCTCCGGGGCCCCTGGCCTGGCCTGTGCCTGCTTCCTGGCTTGCCAGCCCCCCTGCCTGGTGTGCGTGTGTACCTGGTTCCCTGAGAGCACTAATAGCCTATCAAAATCCAAAATTGTCTTTTTGTCTGTGAGAATGACAGTGAACCTACCTGGCCTGGACTAGTTGCAAAACACTTGGTTTGTTAAATGGGGATTGCATTCTTGTGAGGATTAAATAAGATAATATTTAGGAAAACACTTGGTACTTAGTAAGGAAGAAATGTCTGCCATTATTCCTTGGCTCCACACTCTTGGACTAGCTGACTTATGGTGGAACTGGTCAATTTCTCCTTTGGGAATTTCAAATTGAGATAAAGTTAGGCTTTCTGTATGGCCAGAGTTGGAATGGTTAACCTTTCTTTATGGCTAAGCCTGGCTCATTTGTTTGAAGGCCAGAGGAGCAGAAAATGAGGTTGTCCAAAGAAAGGAAGTAGTAACAGCCTAGGTTCAGTAAAGGCCAATATGGCTTCCTCCTAATTTTCCCTTTTCTGCTTCAATTCCTCAGCTAAAATTGCCCAGATTACTGCCTTGGGTTAGACACAAATTTGCATCGAAAGTATTTTGTGCTGAGACTAATTTTGGGCTTTTTTATCAAATGTTCTAACCAGTACATCTATACCTAGAAAAAAGATGAAGTTTGCTTAAGAAGAAAAAGGGAGGTACAGACTTTAAATTTCCTGCTCTTCTCTGAGTGAAATGGAGTAAAATATGTCTCAATAATAGGCCAACCTTCCCTTTCTCTAGTGAATGAATACTGGGAATCGTCCCCAGAAACTCTTATCAGTCTTTTTCTTTTCTAGGAGGTTATCCTTTTTTGTTTCAGGTTAGTTTTCACTTCAGAATTTTGTTCAAAAAATACATAGTGGGTGCTTCCTGGAAGCATGCAATTACAGGCAGAAGTCTATAAATAGGAGTCTCTAGTTGTGGATTTTTAAAGACAAAGGAAAGGCCTGCGTAAGTTGGGGTTAGGACTGCTTCCCCCTCACCTCTCTCCACAAAGATCTTTCTCAAGGAGAAAACATGGTTTTGATTTTAACAAGGTTTTAGCACAGACGATAAAAAAGAAAACGTTATTAGCTTTAGGTTGTCAATACAAAAACACACCAGAAATATTTACCTTCTTCCCTCCCCTAGCTCTATCACATCATCGACTTAACAATATAAAAGTAGATTTTTTTTTTGCCCCAGATGACAAGAAAAAAGGAGTTGGGAATCTTAATACAGATTCTAGGCTCTTTTAACCTTGACCAAGTCACTTAACACTTAAGGATCCCAAGAATCAATTCCTTCTAAACTAGTTCTGGCTCTCAAGAGCCTCCCTGCCTGGATTACAATGTTTTCATTCAGTTGAGGGCCTCCCATTAATTTTGACTGGGCTTCTTAGAAAAATGGTAGGTCAAAATCTAAAAGATAATGTGAAAAAATGGAGGCTCAACATTTGGCCTTTTGTGTTGGCTGTGTTTGGATCCCCACTGTGGGACTCCAGCGGGTGTATGAAAGGCCAAGCTTCACAGGGAAACACAGGCCCAATTCAAGCCCACTCAATAGCAGACTGGGCTGGAATGTGCTGTGGGAGGAGATGGGCGTATTCCTACACAAATGGCATTCTTGAAAGAAAACCTACCTGGATTGAAATAAAAAATGATATTTAATAAATCCTGGTCTCCCCATGTGATGGCATTCTTATACTTCTGGTACAGAGGGTACAACATGTCTTTCCAAGCCAAGCCTGTTGAAATCATGCTGTTCTGGAAAAGAGCAAACTGTGATAGTGGCTGAGGCAAAGCAAAAGGATCTTGTTTATAGAGGAGCAATTAAAGCAACTGGTCTCGTCCCTTCCTTTTACGTCTTCCTTCACATCCCTGCTAAGAATTAAGCAAGTAGAAGGGGTTCTAGCTGGTCTGAAGGCATGGCGCCAAATCAAAACAGGGCTGTACACTACATTTTCAGAACTATATATTTTCAGAAATCCCTGGTCCATTTCCAGGGATACTGGATGGACCTGGAATGGAGAGTTGAGCCTATGGTTTGTACTCTGAAAACCATGCCTGAGGTTGAACCTCTCTTTTTTATGCTTAGTTATTATTATTATTATTATTTTTAATGTAATACAGGAGTCTTTATTTATTTCAAATGAATTTGGTATTGTTAAATGCATTTATAACCATCCTGGCCTTTTCGTGTAGTTACTTAGTGACACTGTAATAATTTAATTCTACTGAAAATTCCAAATTTGGTTGTAAAAGAATGCTATCAAAACATCTTATAGTTTTTAATGTATATGAATGTTAAAGAAAATTTGCATATGAGGAATTTTTATGCTTAATTCTTATCTCTGAAGTGAAGGAACAAAATATAATGACCAAAATTGAGTCATCTTAAGGAAATACTTTTTCCTTGCTTGAAATAGTATTTGCATTTAAAATAAAAGCATTATATTCACAGGCAAAATATTCAAAGAGCACACAAAGACATAAACCACAAAAAGTAAAAATTTCTTCCTCTATCCTCCTACAATTCCTTTTCCTACTTTCCCAGGGGTATCTGTTACGAATAATCACTGGTCTCTTAGGAATGCTGGAAATTTCTAAAGCATAAAAGGGATCATGCCCTATAATATCATGCTTTGCTGCATTCTAATTTGTTCACTTTCTGTGCTTTTAGAGATCTTATTAATCTTACTTAAAGACAGACTTAGTTCTTTTTAATATGAGCATAATTTTTTTACTAGTTCTCTGCTGGTGTTCTTTGAGGTTCTTCCTAGTTATTTGCTAGACTAAAAGATAAGGCCATGAGCAATGAACAGTCTTGTACAATATTTTTATGTATATGTACATATATATGTGTGTGTAGAGAGAGATATCTATATCTATATCTATGTCTATATCTGTATATACCTAGGGTACTGCAAGCAATTTTCTATGGCTTTCAAAGCCTGGGATATTCAAAACATGGAATTGAGAAATGCAACATAATATTTCTGAGTAGTAACTCCACAAAGCTTTAAATTCTACAGTTACCTGGGCTTTTCCTGAACAAACAAGTATTTCATAACTTTCCAAATACATTTCGTCTTCCTGGCTCCTTCCATCCTCACCTTCTAAGTCATCTATTTCTAAAGTCAACACTCGAGGAGTGTCACAGTTGAAAAGGCAAACTCCTAATTTTTTAAACAGGTAAATATAAGATACATCCTTACCTTAAACTGGGCACTTCTTATGCGAGTTAAATTCATTAGCATGACTCCTGAATTAACTCCTGCAGTGCCATAGAATGGGTGCCGAGCAAAGCGGCTATACCAGCCAATCTTCGGGATCTCGTGCTCAGGTGCCATGGCTGCAAGCTGGGTAGAATTAAACTGCCTCAGAAACTTCCAGATGTCATCAACAGGTCTTAGAAAGACAACATCAGTGTCTACATAGAGAAGTGAGTCCACGTCCTTTAAAATCACCTGTGTGCATAATGACAGGAAGAGGGAGAAAAGAAATGCAAGTCAGACAACAAGGAAGGGGCTGATAAGTCAACAATGCCAAGAGATTCACTATTTCTGCTGAATTACAGAAAGAGCACCCCTCTTGGAGCTCATGTTCCCCTCCTCTTTTGACTTAAAAGGAAAAGTATCAGTCAAGCAGTAGAGACTCAAAAGCAGATAAATAGTCATTTAGACCGGTCCAGTTCCAGGTCCCTGGGATATGTTTGGTAACAGTTAAATTCTTAAAGGACTGAAAACTTCAGTAAGTTACTGTGGTTTTCTCTTCTATCCTCCAACGAGGCCATCAGCTCTTCTCTGAGTTTATTCTTGCGAAAGCCAGTTCCAAAGAGTTTGGACAACTTGAAATGAACGATTTTGGATCTGCTGTGTCAGGCTCTGGGGCGTACATTCCATGTCTGGCTTATTCCCTTTAGTGTTGATGGCTTTAACTGTGCAACTTTTGGAAATATTTTCAGGTGAGATTTGGGTCTGGGAATAGGCAAAAGCAAGTCACTGGCCAACTTAGGCAAAGCTTTTCCTTTCATGGGTCAGACAGTAAATATTTTAGGCTCTATTGCAACTGCTCAACTTTGCGGTTATAACATGAAAACAGCATTGGCAATACATAAATGAATGAGTGTGGCTATGTTCTACAAAACTTTATTTTAGGGACACTAACTTCATATAATTTTCAGATTTCAACAAATCTTTTGATTTTTTTGCCCCCACCATATGAACTGTAAAAGCCATTCTTGGCTGACAGAATATGATTAGCCAACTTCTGGTATAATATTAAGAGATCAGTCAAGCCAGTGACCTTAAGTAAATGGGTTCTCTGGTGCTAATTGCTTAGCTCAGTGGTATTTTGCTTGGGTCTTAAAACTTCAAAGTCTTGTTTAGTAATAATGTTATTTGCCTTGTTTTCCCATTGTTCCCCAAATTTACTGGTAGCTTACCAAGGAAGGATTTGTACCTTCCCAGATCCCTAGTCTAATATCCTAACATAACAATGCTCTTTATGGACTTTGTTAAAACCCTAAGCCACAATGAGATGATGTTTGGTCTTTGGAAAGTAATTAGAGTTAGATGAGGTCATGAGAAACTTCCTTCTCTCTGTCTCCCCCTTAATCCCCTCTCCCCTGCCTCCATCCCCTCAGTGTGAAGCAGCTATCCTCACACTGGAAAGAGATTCCTAAATACAACCTGGCTGAACTGTCACCCTACCTGTCATGAGAAAATAAATTTCTGTGTTTTATGCTACCCAGTATTGGGCATTTGGCAATGGTAAATTAAGACACAATATTTAAAACTGATCCACACAGGCTCAATATGAATCAGGTAACACAAAGATTTCAGTTGTGAATAACTTCAGATCTTACATGACTAGCGACCTGATTTATCTTAATCATCTGATCTAGTAAGAAATGAATTTTATTAACCAATACAGTGAAATTAAAAAAAAATGATCACCGGCCCTCCCTGGTGGCGCAGCGGGTTAAAGCACAGTACTGAGAATCTAAAGCCACTTCCGCATGAGTTCGATTCCCACCTGCCCCAGAGGTGCCCACATGGCGCAGCAGACCTCTCCTAACCCGCCCACTGCTCCCCTCAGCAGTGTACTTTGTCGATCTGCCTGTTCTGTTCCCCACTCTGTCTCTGGTGAAGCCTCTCACCGCCCCTGAGCCTCTGGCCTGTACCCCAGTTCTGTATGCACAAATAAATCTTTAAAAAAAAAATGATCACCTACCATTTCATAAAGGATGAGCTTGACATTCCTCTTAACAACTTGAATGAGGATGAATTCTTTAAATTAAATATACAACCTTAAAAAAATATATCACTGGGCCCTCCCAGGTGGCGCAGAGGGTTAAAGCATAGCACTAAGAAGCTAAAGTCACTTCAGCATGAGATCGATCCCTGCCCCAGAGCTGACCACATGGTGGGTCCTTTCTTGACCTGCCTGCTGCTCCCCTCAGCAGTGTACTTCCTCAATTTGCCTGTTCTATTCCCCACTCTGTCTCGGGTGAATCCTCCCAGCGCCCCTGCACCTTTGGCCCGTACCCCAGTTCTGTATGCATATATATATATATCTATATCACATTATTCTTATTTTGCCCTGGAAAGGTAAAAATTTTGCCACAGATTAGCAAATCTGTTTTACTTGAAAATCTCAACTCCAGGGAACTGTGGAAGGACTAATTCTCTACAAAAATAAAAGCAAGTTATGATACAAATTATGTATCATATGTAAGTATTATTTTAAAGTTTCACATGCCCAAAACTATCCCAAGGACTTATTTTTTGGGTCTTAAATCATTATTAATATTAAAGTTATTACTTTCTTCAATAACATTTTTTTCTTCCCCAATAAAATTAATGTGACTACCAGTCTTGATTAAAAACAAAAAGAACTTGATAAGGACTTAAAAAGGAAAACAAAATAATCTGAAGGATAGGGAGTATTTCATTATGAGACTACAAGCAATACATTAATAGGAGAGAAAAGGCAAATAAGTTGAATCAGTAATTTATATATCAGAACAATCTTAAAACCAGGTAACATTTTTATGTCTTCCATTATTGGAAATACAGAGTATAGTCACTTTTTTACTGTTATAAACAACAAATGGGTGTCTTTCTAGGGAAATTTCTAAGTATGCAGCATGGCATTTTTTTCTTTATACCTTAGTAAATGTTTATGTGGGATCAATCTCCCTAAAAAGATCAGACAGGCATTTCTCAATATGCTCAGAATAAATTGGTCTCTTGTCCTTGCTGTGGGAAATGGACGTCATCAAGGCCCTGTGAGCCTCAGGAGGTCTATCACCATTACTTAAACAATGGAGATTATTTTGGGGATGAGAGCAGAGGACACTGAAGATTAGGAGACGTTTCTGTTTTTCCCCAAGTCCTTTCCTTACCTTAATGAAAGAAGAGACCAAAAAGTCCTAAAGTTCTGCCCTTTTTCTTAATTGAAAAAGCAATCACTACTGACACTTTTTATGACCTAGAAGAGTATAGTTTGGGGATGTGGAGTCAGTCAGTCCCCCAAAAAGGGTTAAATAAACTTAACAGGTCCAGAGTAGGCCTCTGGTTGAGTTGGCATAGGTGAATTAAAAGAGTGCTGGCAGAAGTTGCCCAACATTCTCCCTGAACAGGTGGATTAAGTCACAGCTGGCAGGAGCTTAACATCTTGTTTTAACAACCTGTTTGATATATCCCAGCAGACTAACAGACAGTATCCTATCCTGAACATTCTGGTGCACATACAGGAGGTGCCATATATCCTAATAAATGGCTGTTGCTTTAATAATACCTGCCCATTTCCTAGAAGGGAGGGTAACCAGGGGACTCACAGGCACGGGTAGTAAAAATCCACTTTAGCATGTTAACATCACACCCCTGGGTGGAGATTTAAGATGCCAATAAGATGTGCGATGTATGAAGAAGCAAATAACCCGTCTGTGCACAGCCCAGTATAAACCAGCCCCAAACAAGCTATGATGCTGCTTCACACACTGGTGGACAAGCCCCTTAAAACCTCTTTCCAAGCTCCCTTCAGGGAGCCAGGATGGAAAATACTCTCTTTCAGCACTTGTGCTTCCCTTAAGTACAGGTCTAATAAACCTTTGTCTGGATATAGTCTGTCTTGCCTCCTCATTAAATTTTTTACAAGATGTTAGAACCTCCACCAAGTTCCCAAGTCAGCAAAATAGTCACCTGGGTATGGGAACTAGAAGTCACTTAAGGTCCTGAGTCTTATGCATTCTATTACCATTACTTAGAGAATACTGATTGTTTTGCGAGAGAGCAGTGAGGTCCCTGAAGGCAGGAGAAGCTTCTATGCATGCCCAAGACATTCCCCCTCTGTAATGGAAGAAGAGATCAATATGCTCTAAGATTCTGCTTTTTTCCTAGTTGAAGAAGCAATACAGGCCTTCCTGTTGGCACAAGGGGTTAAGTCTCAGCACTATGAAGCTATCAGCAGACAGCAAGAGTTTGATCTACCGCCAGAGAGGTAACCCATTGGTGCAGCAGACCTCTCCTGTCTCACCTGCTGCTCCCTTTGGCAGTGTATTTCAGTACATTTGCCGGTTCTGCTCCCCACTCTGTCTCTGGTAAATCCTCTCAACCCCCTCACAGCTCTAGCTGACACCCCAGTTCTTATATGCATAAATAAAATTTAAAAAAATTTAAAAAAAAAAGCAATCACTGCTCAGACTTTTATGACCTAAAAGAATGCACTTTGGGATCTTTTCTAGCTTTAGCTTCATCAGTAAACACAGTCTCTCTATTAGGGGGAAAGAATGCCCTGAAGGAACTCCAGACCAAAGCCATCAAGACACGGGAACTACAAATCGCATCACCACGAAGGGAGGATTGTTAGGGCCTGAGGATGAAGTTAGGAAACCAGGTTTGGAATAAAACCAGACATGTGGGCCTTGGGGCTCTTCTGCTCTCTTGGCTTTTGACTCTTGAACTCTTGGCCTCTTGGCTTTTCACTGCCATTCAGTGTGCAATCATGTGACATCTTCCCCCTCTCTGTCCTTGATGTCCATTCTAAAATGTACACTTATCCTACATTTTATTCTTTAGAATTTACAATCATGGCTCTCCCTGGTGGTGCAACCGGTTAAAGCACCACATTATGAAGCTCTCGAAAGCCACTGCAGCATGAGTTCGATCCCCTGCCGAGGGTGCTGACCCACATGTCGTGGCAGACCTCTCCTGACCTGCCCGCTGCTCCTCTCAGCAGGGTATTCCAGTAGATCTGCCTGTTAAGCTCCCCCGCACTCTGTATCTGGTGAATCCTCTGACCCACCCACCTCTGGCCTGTACCCCCAGTTCTGTAAGCATAAATAAATAAATCTTAAAAAAAATTACAATCATGTGAATTGTCTATCATATGTTGTTAAATTGATTCCCTTTGTTTAGCTAGGCCACCTAATGTTGTTTTGATTAATTGCCCAGCACTAGTC